TTTGAGTATTTTAGATACGATGATTTTCTCTATCAACTGCATTTAATTGTGCTTCTTTTGCTTTTATTTCCTTGCGATTTCTTAAATCTGCCAGACTTTAACAGTAGTAATGGAACGTTTGTTCACGGTACAGAATTCTACAATTTTTCTGTTATCACAGTGTAAAATTCTGTGGTTTAGGGTGAACGCAAAATTGGTTGGCCTAGATTTAGGTTATAACGGTGAACGCACACCGGGTGAGAATGGCCAAAAGACTCGCCTGCGCTATTTTGAGAATAGGGGTGGCTTTTACTTCAACACAATGATTTGCAAGTTTTTTTTTAGCGGAGTGGTTATCCGTACAATTGTGCGAACAACTCTGTCTAGTAATCCGTACAATTGTGTGAACAACTCTGTCTAGTTATCCGCACAACGTTGTACGCACAATTGTACGAAGTGCTGCAGGTATCCGTACAATAGTAGGCCTGTATGCCTACATGTTCTGTCTTAGTAGATCTAAAAATCTAGATCTAGACCTAGAGATTTTAAATCAGTGTTTCTAATATTCCACCAGCTGAAATTAAAATTTTTTTCGTGTGATCTCATCTGCCGATCTGATGCCAGCCGCCTCATGCTTCATGTAAAAAAAAAAGCAACTAGATCTAAGTCTAGATCTAGACTCTAGATAGATAGATCTAGAAATGTGTGTTGCGTTGAAATCGTGCTGTAAAAATATTTAAGCTTAATTATATAATCTACCTGATAGTTCTGATGGCCAAAATGACAGCGTGTCTGCGTTAGAAGAAGTATTATATTTTGAACTACAACTACAAGTAAGGCTACGACAACGACCCCCCTGGCCTGGTCCACAGCGCATGAACGAAAGGAATGCGGCTATGGCAGGTTTTTGCTAATAATATTGTCCATGGTTCGCAGGGTGCATGGGAATGAGTGAGATTCTCTTTGTGGGTGCCTGGAGGGAGGGGGTGGGGTGTGAAAGTCATGCGGACGGAGATGAGCTGCGGGAGAGAACACGGGAATTGAATGAATGAGTGAAAGTGAAAGAGAGGAACGACTCATGAGCCCTGGAGTGAATGGATCCTGTGTTTCTATTTTTGTATACTTTGAACTGTTACTGAATAAAGGCTGAAATAAAGCCCGAAAAACAAACACACACACACGCTCCTCACTCTCCACTTACACACTTACTACCACACACAGACACACTCACCCACGCACATGCATACACACACACACACACACACACACACACACACAGGAGCAAATTTTTAGGTCTATATCTATTTCAATTTTCAAGAGCTAGTCTAGAGATTTTTAGATGAGTGTAAAAACGTGAAAAAGAAAGGTTTCACGACCGAATGAAATCAAAATTAGAACAGCCCATAAACAACCACAAAAATTAACAAATAAAAGGGCGTGAGTCCACCTGTCCGAAGAAGATTGGCTGTTTTAACCCTAAATGTGCGCAATTTTAAAACAAAGTACAGGATATTACATGTAAATTATGGAATCACACACATTAAGGGGCCTGCCAGAGTCAGTACACGTAGATCTAATCGGTTTTGGTGGAACGAACGCTCTAACATAACACATTTAAATCTGTATAAATGTATATAGTATATATATTTAGAATCTAATGAAAGTAGAAACATCAAATTAAATGACGTTACACTATACAACATCCCCTCCCCCTTTTTCCCCAACAAAAAAAAATGATAGAAAAACAACACATCAGAACAATAACAAAAAAGAAAAAAATACACACTGACAAAATAAAACACCACAAAGAGGGAAAAATTATAGTAACTGTAACGTATTCAACAAATCAACGTGGTGACAACAAGTGAGAAAGAGACGAAGTGAAGCAAGGTGAACTTTCTTTCAAAAGTAAAGAGGTTCGGGTTTTTTTTGGTTTTTTTAAAATTTGACTTTTATTTCCCGATTCGAGGACCAAAAAATGCCAAAAACTCGAGCCACGATTGATTGATATCAATAACCCTCCGTAGATCTAGATCTAGACAGCACCCGAGTGAACAATTCATTAGGTTTAAGAGCAGCACCCTTCATAGGCAACACGTCATATCTGTAGCGAAAAACTGTTTGGAAATATGAAAAAATGATATTCGGACTCTGATTCTTGTCCAGCATGACATCACTTCCGACTTCCTGTGACTCGTTACTCCGGCTTCCTGTCCTGCCTCACTCGTGACTCGTCTCAGGCTGGGTAGAGACCGGGATCACTTCGGGCAAAATGGCGTTAAATTGTGCAGGAGCCGAGTTTTTATTTTATGATGAATTTGAGGCCGGACTGAAAAGTTATAGCTCTTCTAATAAATGTTTATTTGTCAAGAGGTCATCAGAAGCAATTAAAGATGGCTCGTTAGCGTGTGTCAGGGTCGAATTGGCGGCATGCACACGTGTGGCTGTGTGTGCATGTCGGGGAGAGGGGGGCACTATCGGTCCGGGTGTTGAACGTCGCATACGCGTCAGTCTCCCCCCCCCCCCCCCGGCAACTTATCATATTACAATAATAAGGCTAGTCTTGACGTAGATCTACGTATGAATTGTGTGCTGGTCTATGGAATCAAAAGTTGCCGCATGCTCAGCTCTACACAGCAACACAACTTTTTCTTGGTAAACAATCGAGATGACACAGGCTTGTGTATTTGAACGAATCGGTCTTTTTTTTTTTACACAGCTCATAATATGCAGGTGCCAGGATATCTGCTAATCTTCAATTTTACCTTTTTCTACAACAAAGAAAGTGGGAAACATGGGGGGTGGGGGGGGGGGGGCGTATCAATGAGGCGGCGGGCATCGGATCGGCAGATAAGGTGTGGGGAAACTAAAAAATGGTGGATAATTGGAAGCACTGAACGTTAGATCTATAGAACGAAGACACTTCGTTTTTCCCGGACCTGTGTTGGAATAACATTTTATCATATTCAGACTCGAGTCCGAATAAGAAATTTTTTTATTCGGACTCGAGTCCAAATATGAAAAAATGTTATTCGGACTCGAGGCCTTTCTTCATACAAATATTTACTGCGGACATTTTTTGGACCGATTGAACCATATTGTATACACACAATCTTTGGTAGGCCTATACTATAATTATAGATCTATATAATATCCTAAAGTTGCGGGAATGGATATAGTGATTTCAGAGTGTTCGTAGAAATGGTGCCCAGATTTATTTTCCAGAACGTTCGGAGAAATAGTGCCTAGCTTTACTTTCCCGAACATTCGGAGAAATAGTGCCTAGCTTTATTTTCCCGAACGTTCGGAGAAATAGTGCCGGCCTTTCCTTTTACTTTTGGCCGTCATTGTCCGAATAACATTTTTTCATATATATTCAGACTCGAGTCCGAATAAAAAAATTTCATATTATATATATTCGGACTCGAGTCCGAATAAGAAAAAATGTTATTCGGACATGGGTCCGGAAAAAAAGGAAGTGTCTTCGTTCTATAGATCTAACGTTCAGTGATTCCAATTTTCCGCCATTTTTTAGTTTCCCCCGCACTTTGTCTGTCGATTCGATGCCCGCCGCCTCATTGATACGCCCCCCCCCCCAACCCCCCATGTTTCCCACTTTCTTTGTAGTAGAAAAAGGTAAAATTGACAGATATCCTGGCACCTGCATATTATGAGCTGTGTAAAAAAAAAAAAAGACCGATTCGTTCAAATACACAAGCCTGTGTCATCTCGATTGTTTACCAAGAAAAAGTTGTGTTGCTGTGTAGAGCTGAGCATGCGGCAACTTTTGATTCCATAGACCAGCACACAATTCATACGTAGATCTACGTCAAGACTAGCCTTATTATTGTAATAATGATAAGTTGCCGGGGGGGGGGGGAGACTGATGCGTATGCGACGTTCAACACCCGGACCTTAAGTGCCGAGCAAATGGCAACTTTTGATTCCATAGACCAGCGCACAATTCATTACGTAGATCTAGGTCAAGACTAGCTTATTATTGTAATAATGATCAGTTGCGGGGGGGGGGGGGGGGAAAGAAACGTATGCGAAGTTCGACGCCCGGGCCGATAGCGCCCCCCCCCCTTTCCCGGAAAGGGCACGGGGGTACACATGGGGGGGGCGGCCATCCGACACCGAAAAAGCTAAAGAGGCATCTTTTATTTCTTTTGATGGGCTCTTGAAAAAAAAAAATTT